GCTCTGAGAGAACTTGTGACTGACCCAAGGTCACTCCAGCAGCTGCGTGTGGAGGAGTGGGGGATCAAACCCGGTTCTCCCAGATTAGAGTCCACGCTCCTAACCACGACACCAGGCAGGGGGAAGGGCGCACAGGCACCTGCGGGGGATACGTGGGTGGGGGCAGGAAGGCAGGGGTCCTGGGGGTGGGCGTAGACGTCGAAGGGTGGCCTGGAGCCTTCTCTGCCCAGGGTCCCTCCAAACCCGGAACTGGCACAGACTAGAAGGATGGGGGGGGGGCATGGGTCAGGGGTAGAGCGTCTGCTTGGTATGTGGAAGGTCCCAGGTTCAATCCCCAGCATCTCCAAAGATCAGGCAGTAGGTGATGTGAAAGGCCTCCGCCTGAGACCCCGGGAAGCCTCTTGCTACTCTGAGTAGACAACACTGACTTCGGCGGACTGAGGGTCTGATTCATAAGAACATAAGAGACGGCAATGTTGGATCAGGCCAAAGGCCCATCCCGTCCAACACTCTGTGTCACACAGTGGCCAGAAATACCAGGTGCCATCGGGAGGTCCACCAGTGGGGCCAGGACATTAGAAGCCCTCCCACTGTTGACCCCCCCCCCAAGCACCAAGAAGACAGAGCATCACTTGCCCCAGAGCCCCTATCTATACCTTGTGGCTAATAGCCACTGATGGACCTCTGCTCCATATGCTTATCTAATTCCCTCTTGAAGCCGTCAATGCTTGTAGCCGCCACCACCTCCTGTGGCAGTGAATTCCATGTGTTAATCACTCTTTGGGTGAAGAAGTACAGGACAGGATTCAGTACAGGACAGCTTTGTGCGTGTCTTGAATGGGGCGAAGACCGCAAGGAAAGAGTTTATTTATCTAGTTCCTTACACCTGGCTCTTCTCCCCAGCGGTGACCTCAAGGGCCACTTACATCAATCTCCTCTCCTCCATTTTATCTTCACAACAACCCCGTGAGGTAGGTCAGGCTGAGAGAGCGTGCCTGGCCCAAGGTCACCCAGCAAGCTTCTGTGCCAGAGCAGGGATTCAAACTTGGGTCTCCAAGATCCTAGTCCGACAGAGCAACGCTACCGAGCTCTGTCTCCCCCTGTGCCTCTGGGCCTGGAGAACGGGAGGACCGAGGAAATGACCAGGGGCTGGGAAATATTTTCCCAGGAGAGAAAGGGCCACCAATGAGCGGAGAAGGGTGTGGCCTTGGAGACGGGCTGTGCCGGACTTGGTCTGCCCACCTTCATTCTTGGCCATTTACTTCTCCGGGTCCTTGCCCTTGATCGCTGGGCATGCAAACAGGCCTTAGAGCAGTGGTGTCAAACTCACTTGTTACGAGGGCCAGATCTGACATCAGTGTCACCTTGTCAGGCCGGGACGTGTGTGCCCTGCAATGTAACACCAGGTCCTGGAGATATACACGTTATAAAGGACACGGGCAAACCCAGTTAACGGGTTTTTTTGTTTTTTACTCAAAATACAAAAGCAATCGATTCCTTGCAGCAAAAGCGATCGATTTACTGGGGAACTCACAAGGAAGGAGGAGGAGATTGGATTTATTCCCCGCCCTTCACTCAGAGTCTCAGAGGAGCTTACAAATTCCTTTCCCTTCCCTTCCCTTCCCCACAACAGACACCCTGTGAGGTAGGTGGGGCTGAGAGAACTCTGACAGAAACTGCTCCTTTCAAGGACAGCTCTGACAGAACTACGGCTTGCCCAAGGTCATCCAGCAGGTGCAAGTGGAGGAGTGGGGAATCAAACCCAGTCCTCCCAGATTAGAGTCCACGCACTTAACCACGACACCAAACTGGCCCGGACAAATGTATTTAATCACATGCAAGACTAGGTTTCCCCCAAGGGATATCATAAAAGGGGGAGTCCCTTACCTGTCCATCCATACCAGTTGCTTGCGGGCCAGGTAAGAGCCCTGGATGGGTGGGGATTGGGGAGGCAAGCAGTGAGGTCGCTGGTGATATCCCCCTGGAGAATTTCCTAAGGGAAACCAGCATTTAGCGGCTTTCTGTGGCTGGCAAGCCTTCCGCTTTTCACCTGGGAGTCCAGGGCCCTCGTTCTTCCGGACAAGACCTTTCTGCCCCTCTCGCCAAAGATATTTGGCGTAAGAAGGCCAGACCCACACAAAGATGTGGGGACAAGGCTGTACAAGGTTACTCTTTAAAGCCAGTCAGGCGCCGTTTAAATCCCGAAAGCACCCGTGTCCGGCTGCTGGGGGTCCCTGCGGTTTTCCTAGCTCTGACGCTGCTGCTCTCTCCTTTTCTTTCTTCCAGCCCCCTCAGGAGACGCCCTCCCTGAAGGACTGGCTGGAATACCTCAGCACTGTGGACTTCGGTGCGCCTTTCCTCACTAGGGCAGCTGCAGGACCCCCCGGGCAGCATGTTCGAGATGGGGGGTTATGATCTCTGGGGAGGCTCCGTCCCCCTGCGTGTGTGGCTTCCGGGGTGGTGGGTCTGTGTGTGGGAGTTCCAGTGTTCTGTTCAATAAAACGTGGTTGAGGAATTGCCGGTCCCGCCTTCTCTGTTTCATGTTGTTGCACGGAAGACTTTGCCTCCGCGCTCCTGTCTCCTCCCCAGAGATCGAATGTGTTCTGCAGGCACGCAGGCCAGGAACTTCCTGTATAAGAGCGTAAGAGAAGCCATGTTGGATCAGGCCAGTGGCCCATCCAGTCCAACTCTGTGTCACGCAGTGGCTGAAACCCCCAGGGGCCATCAGGAGGTCCACCAGCGGGGCCAGAATTCCAGAAGCCCTCCCACTGTTACCCCCGCAAACACCAAGAGTACAGAGCATCACTGTCCCAGACATAAGAATATAAGAGAAGCCATGTCGGAACAGGCCAGTGGCCCATCCAGTCCAACGCTCTGTGTCACACAGTGGCCGAAACCCAGGGGCCATCAGGAGGTCCACCAGCGGGGCCGGAACTCCAGAAGCCCTCCCACTGTTGCCCCCCCCCCCCAAGCACCAAGAATACAGAGCATTACTGCCCTAGACAGAGTGTTCAATCTATGAAAAGGTAAAGGTTTCCCTTGCTTGAAAGCCAGTCGAATCAGACTCTAGGGGGTGGTGCTCATCTCCATTTCCAAGTCAAAGACCCAGCACTGTCCGAAGACTTCTCTGTGGTCATGTGGCCGGCATGACTAGATGCCAAGGTGCACGGAACGCTGTTACCTTCCCACCGAAGCGGTACCTCTTTATCTACTTGCAATTTCTTACTTTCGAACTGCTAGGTTGGCAGGAGCTGAGGCCGGAGATGGGAGCTCACTCCGTCACATGGCACTCGGGTCTTGAACTGCCGACCTTCTGGTCTGCAGCTCAGTGTCTTAACCTCTGAGCCACTTATGGACCTCTGCTCTTAAGAACATTAGAAAAGTCATGCTGGATCGGGCCATTGGCCCATCCAGTCCAACACTCTGTGTCCCACAGTGGCCAAAACCCAGGGGCCATCAGGAGGTCCACCACAGCAGGGCCAGGACTCCAGAAGCCCCCCCACTGTGGCCCCCCCAGCACCAAGAGAACAGAGCATCACTGCCCCAGACAGAGTGCTCCATCTGTAAAGGTGGTGACCCCTTTGAAAGATGTTCAGAGGTGGTTTGCCATTGCTTGCCTCTGCATAGCGACCCTAGATTTCCTTGGAGGACACCCATCCAAATACTAGCCAGGGCCGACCCTACTTAGCTGCCAAGATCTGATGAGATTCAGCTAGCTGGGCTATCCAGGTCAGGGTCAGTAGCACCTTAAAGGCCCAACAAAGTTTCCCAGGGTGTAAGAACGTAAGAGAAGCCAAATGTTGGATCAGGGCAAAGGCCCATCCAGTCCAACACTCTGTGTCACACAGTGGCCAGAAATACCAGCTGCCATCAGGAGGTCCACCAGTGGGGCCAGGACATTAGAAGCCCTCCCACTGTTGACCCCCCCGACAAGCACCAAGAAGACAGAGCATCACACCCCTCCGGGGGCTCAAAAAAAGAAGAAGGAAAGAATACAGAGCATCACTTGCCCCAGAGTCCCTATCTATACCTTATGGCTAATAGCCACTGATGGACCTCTACTCCATATGCTTATCTAATTCCCTCTTGAAGTCGTCCATGCTTGTACTTCTGTCCAGTACTGCAGAAGTGAGCTTTGACTTGCTAAAGTGGAAAAAATGTGTTGGTCTTCAAGAGAAGAAGAAGAGATTGGATTTATACCCCGCCCTTCACTACCCAAAGGTGTCTCAGAGCGGCCTACAAACTCCTTTCCCTTCCCCTCCCCACAACAGACGCCCTGTGAGGTAGGTGGGGCTGAGAGAGCTCTTGACAGAAACTGCTCTTTTTCGAGAACAGCTCTTATCAGAGCTACGGCTTGCCCAAGGTCATCCAGCCAGGTGCAAGTGGAGGAGGAGTGGGGAATCAAACCCCATTCTCCCAGATTAGAGTCTGCGCACTTAACCACTACACCAAACTGGCTGTAGGTGCTACCGGGCTCCAGTTTTTGTTCTGCTGCTTACAGACTAATATAGCTACCCCATTGTCTTAGCTGTTCCCCTCCATGGGGGGAAAAGAGCAGATCCATAAGGAACATCATAAGGTCTGTTTAGGTTAATTGGGAAGAGGCAGGTCCTCCACGTATGGCTGTGTCTGCATGCCACATACAGGTCCTCTCTCTTTTTGAATTGTCAACCTTTTCTTGGCTAACCCTACAGTAATATTTACACATATTAAAAACTGCCGTAGGTTCAGGTGGGGGCGTATTGGTCTTAAAGGTGCCCCTGGGCTCCAACTTAGTTCTCACATCTGTTAGCTCTTGTAATCTGAGTGCTAATTTGCTGGCATTCACAGGTCTGACCAAGTGCGTTATTCCAAACTTAGCTATATTGATCACTCCGTTACTTCTGCCTCTGGACTCTTCATTAGCCCTTCCGGGAAACTCACCCCCCCAGCTATATGTAGTGCTTGAGGAAGTCTGTTCCAATGTGTCTGGAGAAGTGTGCTTGCACACAAAAGCTTATCGCCAGAATTTAACCTTGTTGGTCTTAAAGGTGCCGCTGGACTCAAACTTGGTTCTCACATCTGTTTGCCCAACTCTTTTATTTGTATGGTAATTGGCTGCTCTTCACAGCTCTTACCAACTGCTTGGATCCAATCTTAGCTGTTTTTATCACTTAGTTATTTATGCATCTTGATCCTATGTATATGTAAGGCTTTAGGAAGTCTGTTTCCATGTATCTGAAGACGTGTGCATGCACACAGAAGATTATGCTCAGAATTAAACTGTGTTGGTCTTCAAGGTGCTGCTGGACTCAACCTTTGCCCTAGCCTAGAGGGTTATATGCAGCTAGGTAGTGGGAAGGAAACAGCGTTCCGTGCGCCTTGGTGTTTAGTCATGCCAGCCACATGACCACGGAAACGTCTTCGGACAGCGCTGGCTCTTCGGCTTGGAAACGGAGATGAGCACCGCAACCCTAGAGTCGGATTTGACTGGCTTTTGAGCCAGGGAAAGAAGAAGAAGAGATTGGATTTATACCCCGCCCTTCACTCCCCAAAGGTGTCTCAGAGCGGCTTACAAACTCCTTTCCCTCCCCACAACAGAAACCCTATGGGGTAGGTGGGGCTAGGCGAGCTCTTGACAGAAACTGCTCTTTTTCAAGAACAGCTCTTATCAGAGCTACGGCTTGCCCAAGGCCATCCAGCCAGGTGCAAGTGGAGGAGTGGGGAATCAAACCCGGTTCTCCGAGATTAGAGTCCGCGCACTTAACCACTACACCAAACTCGCTGTAGGTGCTACCCTTTACTAGAGGTGGTTGGTTCGAGTGGCAGTTCTGCATTTGGCCACAGGGTGGTGCTGTGGGACCACTCTCCATGTGCCGTTTTCCCCACGAAGGCTGCAGAAGGGAGGCACCGAGGTCCCTTCGCCATGGAGGCTTTTGGGGTGTACTGAAGTTTAATGAGGGGCAAAGCTAAACTCTTGCCCCAGTATTTTGGAAGCGAGATGTGCTTTTGGTGGTTCAGGAATGCAGCCTCTCATGCATGAGGTTTCTCTTCCCTGCCCTCTGAAGGAAGGGGTCCCCAACCTTTTTGAGTCTGCAGGCACCTTTGGGATCCTGACACGGCACAGTGGGCGCAGGCACAAAATGGCTCTCACAGGAGGTGGAGCTAGCCACAAAATGGCTGCCATAATGAAGGTCTTTGTGCTGTTGGCAGTGGCTGCCCCTCAAAACAACTTCTGTCTGTCGTCTTCTTCATCATCATCATTATCAATATCTATCTTTTGTTGTTCAGTCGCACAGTCGAGTCCGACTCTTTGCGACCCCATGGACCGCATCACGCCAGGCCCTCCTGTCCTCTGGAGTTTGCTCAATTTCATGTCCGTTGCATCGATAACCCTGGCTAACCCTCTCATCCTTTGCCGTCCCCGTCTTCTTTGACCTTCAATCTTTCCCAGCATCAGGGTCTTCTCCAGTGAGTGCTCCTTTCTCATTCGGTGGCCAAAGCATTTTAGCTTCAGTTTTAGTATCTGACCTTCCAGGGAACAGTCAGGGTCGACTGACTCGATCTCCCTGCAGTCCAAGGGACTCCCAACAGTCTCCTCCAGCACCCCAATTTGAAAACATCTATCCTTCACCGCTCGGCCTTCCTTAAGGTCCAACTCTCACAGCCGTACATTACTACTGGCAGGGCTTTTTTGGTAGAAAAAACCCCAGCAGGAACTCATTAGCATAACAGGCCACACCCAACAGCAGAAACTCCTTCACCTATTAGGCCACACCCCTGACAGCACAGCTCATTAGCATATTAGGTCACACCCATGTTACCAGAGGTGGGGTCATCCAGCCACACCCACCTTTTGCTTCTTATTCTGTTTACCTTGTTTGTTGTCAAAACCCAGGGCTTTTTTGTAGCAGGAGCTCCTTTGCATGTTAGGCCACACACCCCTAATGTAGCCAATCCGAATGAGTTCCTGCTGTCGGTTGTGGCCTATTATGCTAATGAGTTCCTGCTGGGTGTGGCCACCTCGGAAGCCAGCCGGAACTCCGTTCCTGTGCGTTCCTGCCCCAAAATAGCCCTGACTACTGGGAATACCATCGCTTTGACCCTACGGACCCTATCTATCATCTATTTGGCTTTCTAGCGCCTCCCTCTCCTGCACAGCAGGGCTCAGGGCGGCTTACAACCACAAATATATATAGCTAATTTAAAGCAATTAAAACATAATTATACTTACTGAAACCTATACACAACGTCAGAGAATACAATTCAGGATGGTGGTCAGGGTCCGATTAAGAAGTCCTCCCCAAAAATGATCTGTCTGCGTGCCCAGAGATGAACCAGATACTGGTTTTAAAATCTGCACGGCCAAACCAAATCTCCACCGGCCAAACCAAAGAAACCTTGCTGGGCAAAAAGCAAAAAGCCCCACTTGGCCCTGCCCACATCGAAAACTCTT